GCATATCAGAAATCTCTAAGGGTATTTAATCATTCAGAATAAGAAAGGTTTCTTTAATTTTTAAACATGTATTTCATTTTATGTTTTATTTAAATTGTCTGAACATTTACATAGAACCCCTTGAAGGCTTGAAAACTTGAAATTTATGTTATATTTAAAAAATAAATAATTATGAAGCATAGTATATGTAGAGATATATTAGAGGAAGAAAAGGTACTGTCTGAGTATGAAGACATTCTGATAATTACAAAATATGACTTGCAAAAAATCATTAACTTATGTAGTGATTATTTGTTTTAAAGGAGCTGGAAACCAGATTCTCAAAGAAGTTTTGTGGTAATGCTGCCTCCCACAATAGTATGAATATTTAAAGAAGTAATATATATGAGAAACTCCAAGTTGCAAAAGTGTAGTTAATTACTGCTTATGAGACAGGGGAATTAAAACCACGAGGATGGTTTCTTTCCCATATGTTGAGAGATGCATGTTCTTGGAATTACTTGGGAAATAGGGGCTAAAGAAAGCTAGGTTTGTGCTGCTGCTGACAACCTTTGGGAAAATTAATTAAGATAGCAAAGTCTAAACATTGTAAACATGGAAAGAAACATCACTAGCTTCATGGTGAAATGTTGTAGAGCCTGGCATGGTCCACAAGGGACCAAGACAGAGAGGAGAAACGAAGAGCATTGGAAGTAGAAAGTTCAAGTGGTAGCTCAAATCTAAAGAAAAAGCATTTCTTATAGTAAGCTCGTGTATCTTTAAACTGTGATTCCACTCAAAAATGATTGAAAAAGTTTGTGTATTTTCTCATAGCTATGAACTGTATGTTCCAGGAATGCTCATTTTGACCTAGGTTGCTGTCAGATTTTACTGACAATCCCTTCAGGTTGCTGGCAGGATATGTGTCATCTCCCCTTGGCTTTCAATCAGTCCCCTGTACAGGGACTTATGAAAACAGATTAACCTTCGTTGTTTAACAAACGGTACTACAAAGAAGGTATTTATTTACTTCCGACTTAAATGTGCTAATGACAGTTTACATGCTGTAATTTCTGAGTGTAACAGCAAAATGCTAATCTGCTTGTTTGTTAGGTATTTCACTTACAGTTCTGTTTTTTTCAACTGTTGAGCAAGGACTTTACTATTACCACTATATAAATGTTTTCCCAGCCCACCAAAGAAAAATGAAAATTTTAATTAAAGCAGTTAACCCTTAAAAAATTGATTATTCAAATCTGCCTATTGACAGCAATACACTGTATTCTCAATTTAGAGGTTACTAAATTTTTGTTACTAAACGACTTCGTTTCCCTCATGTTATGAGAATACAAAGTTACTTCACATACTTTGGGTGGAAAAGTGGATGTGGGATATTTCTTTCTGTTTGTCTTTCCTCTGTTTTGGCATTTTCTGGCTGGTAGGAACTTCAGGGTAAACCCCATTTGGTTTTTCTGTGATTATTTCTTTCTTCCAGGTTTGGGATATATGTTGGCTTGTTTTTCACCCTGTCTAGTCCAAACTGGTATGGTAATTTAATATGATAAATTTTGTTGGGGGAAGTTGGAAGAAATTATTTTCTGTCTAGTTTGAGAGCAGAAAGTTTCTCAGCAAACTTGCATAGAAACGATGCAACAATTTTAGATTTTCACTGTAACACTGCTTGTTAAGAGTGACTCTTTAGCAAACGTTATTAGTTAGGCACATTCAGTGGTCTTTGGAAGGTATTCTTTGGCTTTCTCACAGTATACAAGTATGCACAAGTGTAACTGTTTAAGTTTACATCTTAAATGAAAGGTTCAGTGTATGTTATAGAGAGTGGTTCTACGTGTAAATATGCAAACACTTCAGAACATACTTTCCTTTCAACTCCAAACATTTTTCTCCAATACAGTCAGTGATAGGCTAGCATGTATTAGCAGTGTTTTTTATTTTAAACGTTGATGCATATGCAAAATTTTGTTGATGGATTGATTGTTGAAGTTAGTTGTTACTTCAGTGTAATTTTTAAGGAAAATACCCAGTACTGGATATTCAGCGTTGTCATATTGACTTCTGTCTGTGATATCATTTATCTTTGATATCATCAGTCATTAGAATGTCTTCATATAATTCAAATTTGCAGTATTTTCAGAGAGCTATAACATGAAATTATAATTTTATTGCATCATTTATTATGGGGAGGGAGAAAGTAATTTAAAATGAAAGATTTTCACTTTAAAAATTAATTTGTAAGCTTTGGTATCTTTTTATGTAGAAAACCCTTTTGTTCAAAAACAGTTTATACCTGTTTAGACAGAGGTGTCTTTAGATTTTTAAACCTGAATATCTGTTAAGAATTTACGTGCTATTTCTGTTTGGTAAACTAAACTTTCAAAAATAAATAGTTAAAAACCTGTCCCAGTGTTTCTGTTTCAGCTTTTTCTGAGATTTTTGAATCACAGCTGGTTAATAAGAATTTTCTTTTCTTCACATCTTCCCCGCCTACATTAAAAGTACCTTTTCTGTCACACAGCCTGTGCAGTTTTCCCATAGGGACATATAATGGAGTTCATCAAAGTGAAAAAAGTGAGTCACACAGTCACTTATTTACTCATGTAACACAATAATGGTGTTGATAGTTACCTGGACATGCTTTCATTTCATTAGATTGTGGAAAAGCTGGGAGTTAAAAAGTCTTTGCAGACTTGACTCCAAATGAAAGAAAGAAATTCAGTCATAGCTACACAGTGGTTACTGTCTCATTTAATGCTGTTTGTTGCCTTTTAGGAACAATGAGCAGAAATGTTGTTGCTCTAAATTTGCTAGAATATTTAATTATATAAATTATGAAAAGGAAGTCCTGTTTTCATGGTATAGAGTCAAAGGATATTTATTATTTTATTATGATTAAAATATCAGTTTAGATTCTAAAATTATGTCTATCTAGTTTCATGGGCACAAGTTATCTAATAGTACCAAAAAAAAAAAGTGCCTTCCCATATCTCCCTGTGTTTTGCAAATAAAGCTTTGTCACTATTCCTGCGTGGCAATTCAAGATTCTGACTGTCCCACTTAGCTCTGTTTCATGTGCAAGGTTTTATGTGTATCTGCTAGACTGATGACTATGTTTCGAGCATAGAATTCCCTGCCTGCTCTGTTTTCCTTTCCAGCCCTGTGGGACTAGAGTTTCAAGAGTTAGTGGCACTGGGCTGACTAACAGCAGAAGACCTTTTGCAGGAGCGCTGTAACAGTAATTGGAATCGCTCTGAATGGTAGGCTGGCTCTGATGGGTTATCAGAGAAGAGAGAATTCCTGACAGTGGTATCATCTGGTAGGAGTGTTTTGATTACTCATTTGCCTTAGCTCACTCTAAGAGGAGTGCCGTTAGGAGCCCAGTCAAATAGAGAAGAGCCCTGCATTCCTCAGTTATCTTTGAGGCGTGCATTTATCTGTGCAGTAGAAGTGCTCCATAATGAGCTGTCCTGTCCCTGTCCTTCAGTTGCCCAGCTTTGAGGATCTGCAATGCACATTGGCTCCCTTCTAGCCAGTGTATATGGGTTTGCTTCCCATGGACAGTGTGCACCAAAACCATGGTGGTTTGGGCTTACATCAAGTCCCAGATGCTGTGACATGTTCCAGCATGCCACAGTCAGATACAGCCCAGACTTCCAAAGGAAAGGAGAACAAAAGGGAGCCTTTCACTAAGACTATTTGTTTCCCAAGAGACCCACATTACTATGTTTTCAGCCTTGTTCCATAAAGGGTAACTCTTAGGCATACTCTGTTTATGAGATATGTTGAACATCTGGTAATTACCTCTGAAGTGGTTAAAAGGTTGATGTACGTGGTGAGAATTTTAGACACAAGCAGGGCAATCCTGTATACAAAAATTTGATGATGAAATTAAAATGTACCACCTTTGTCATGTGGGAAAGAAGATATGAATCTGAAATCAAAGCTTATATTATTCTAATGTTAATACTTTTGTTGACTTCCTTGTTTGGTAGATTTTTGTGTGAGTGAAAGTGGTATGTCTGACACCAGAAAACATTGTTGCTTTGAAATTTTTGTGTATAAGTTAATTCTATGTGTGAGGGCCATCAAAAGCTTCATTAAAACCTCTACAGAAGATGTAAACAAAATGTGATACAGGTTTTTACCTATCCTTGGTATTCTTTTCATTTCAGCTACTGCATACCTTGCTGTATTTTCCCAATTCTAGTCAACTGTGTAATGCTGTGTAGTAAAATATGAGATCAAAAATTGAAATGTAATTATTTTGAATTAACTTTCTATATCCATAGCCATGCATCAGGTTTATTTTCTGAGGAGTTGTATAACCACGTTTCTATCTGTCTGTCTAGTGTGAGAAGCAAAGATGGTCAACATCAAGTATTCATTCCAAGCACAAGATTGCTCATGATCCTTTTTCCACTGTCTTTAGTATAAAGAATCTGAAACACTGTTTCACTTGTTAAATTCACTGGTGAGCAGGGTTCATGTGAAAAGGCTTGTGTCTGCCTTTATTAGTGCCTTATTTGTCTTCAGAGTTTAATATCTTCCCTGGGTGAGCAACTGTATGGGACATAATCAGAAGTTCAATATCATGGCTTTAGGGAGTGCATTTTGTTTCCTTTATTGGTCTACATTCTACCTGCACAGAATCTGACTTAAGATATCCAAAGGTTTTTGCCAGGTAAGCATCCCTGAAATTCAAGCCTAGAATTTTTGTAATGTCATATTTATGCTATATGTATTTATATATGGTTTACAGAATCCTTTGTGACTATATACTTAATACTTTGCTTTTGTCTAAATCTCTTTCATCTGAGAGATCATTCATTTCCAATTTTTAACAAATATTTTTCAGTAGTATTATCTACTTTGAAATGTAAAGTAAAAAAAAGACATTTATGGATTTTCAAATACTCTCTCCAGATATTTAGACTTACCATTTTCCACAGAACTGTTTCAACAGTAAATAATCAGAAAGTAAGTAAAGAATTTTCACTTATTCTCAGCAAACTGCATTCAGAGGATGAGAAGAACACCTCCGCTAGATGAACTGCAACCGCCTCCGTACCAGGATGATAGTGGTTCTCCTCATCTTTCATGTACGCCTTCTGAAGTCGGAGACAGTAAATGTGAATTTTCCCAGTGTAGCAACAGTCCGAGGTGTTCATATAAATGCCCAAGTGAGGGAAGCACAGGACACGAAATAGAAAGCTTTCATAACAAAGGATACGAAGAGGATGTGCCAAGTGATAGCACAGCTGTTCTTAGTCCAGAGGTAAATGAAAACACAGTTGAGTGTTCTGAAGCGTCATGCAGTGCAACATTTTGAGAGCTTTTTTTTATGTAAGGATCAATGCACAGTTATATGAACACTAATATTACAGCTCTTTCATTTAAAAAGAATTAGTTTGTCAGAAAATATTACAGTAGGATTTCAGATTGTTCTTTATAGCTGTCTTTATAACTTTTGAACAAGATCCAAATAAGAGTGAATTGGTTTTTAAACTAGTCAGAAAACTTCATCAAACTATATAAGGACTGTAGTCAAAATTCTTTTTCTTCCACATAATTTTTCAGACAACTCAAATAGAAGAAAAAATGTTCCATTAATGCTTTTCAAACTGAACACCCCATAATGTAAAACATCTTTTCTAAAAAAACTTATTACAAAGAATTTTTTAAAATTATTGATGGTAGTATAGAGACATTTGGTCCACTTAATTTTCCTTTTTTCTGCTATAACTTGTAATGATACCTATTTATTTTTACTATGAAGAAATCATCTTTTCTGACATGTATTTCCTTGAAACAAACAGTTACTGCACTGACATCTATGGGTAAGTCTGCATTAGTGATGTCATGTGCAGAAGATGCTCTTTTTGGCACAATTTTGTCTTTTGTCTCTATCTGAAGTTTTGAAGTGCATATTAGGGCTTGGTCCTCATGTGCCAACAGCTGTTTCTGACTTAGTAGACCTCTTGGTAAGTCGATGTTGCATACCTGGGTGTTGGTGCAACATCTGGGAGGCCTAGCTGCAAGGTCCTCCAGTAGCTAGCTGTCTGCTTGTACCTGATGATCAGCTAGGATCACAATCCATATGAATTTCATTCAGGCTGTATTGTGGCATCTGTTAATTTACATAAACAAATGTGTTTTTGATAATATGAAAATACATTTGTTTTTACATACTTGGAATAACTTATTATATGAACAGTAGGTTGACCTATACTTGTAAATAATTTGTGTTTCAGTATCACTATCAAACTAGCTGTTGTAACAATACAGGGGATCAATATTTTGTTCAAAATTTCAGGTGACAATAAACAATCTTAAAATTAAGCTAAAAATGTAGTTTTAGGACTGATGCCATTTACAGAAAGTCCAGAAGGTGTTTTCAAAGCAGATGCATTTTACAGAGTTCCAGTAAAATTACATTAATAAAGCCATGATAATTTTTGGCACATTCATAGAACTGTTGTGGACTGCAACAAGAGCTGCATGTGCGAGTAGGTGGTGTAATTCCTGCATTCTTTGCTGGCGTCTCACCATGTTCTCAATCACTAGCCATCCCTTGAAGCACTGTAATATGTTAACTTAAAAATGTGTGTATACTCACACTGAAATAAAGTTGTTCTATCTTGTAACAAATGTATATACGTTTTAATGTGTGGCACAGAAGAAGAGATCATAAATGTAGCCTAATTTAATCTGAACTCTGTGCAATTGGCTCCTGGCTTTGGTCATATTGGCCAGGTAGAGCCTTTTGATTTCTTGGCTGCTAGTCAGCCATCTCCTCGGGCTTTTGGTGTTTAATTACCTTGTTTATGAAATGAACAAAAAGATCATAGTCCCTTCATATTGCTTAGAGAAAACCATATATTTGCACGCTGTATTTAATAATAGAATACAATAAATAAATAAATAAATAAATAAAAAGCTGTTTTTCTTCTTCTTCTTCAGGATATGTCAGCTCGAGGATCATCTTCACAGCTTCCTAAACCTTTTGATCCTGAGCCAGTAGCTAAATATGGCACACTGGATGTGACTTTTGACTATGACTCACAGGAACAGAAGCTTTTGGTGACAGTGACAGCTGTCACAGACATTCCCACATACAGCAGGACAGGTGGAAGCTCATGGCAAGTACACCTAGTTCTTCTTCCTATAAAGAAGCAGAGAGCAAAAACCAGCATCCAGCGGGGACCGTGCCCTGTCTTCACAGAGACATTCAAATTTAATCACGTTGAGTCTGAGATGATTGGGAATTATGCAGTTCGCTTTAGACTGTACAGCGTACGTCGCATGAAAAAAGAGAGGATTGTGGGAGAAAAGATTTTTTACTTAACAAAATTGAATCTTCAAGGGAAGATGTCAGTGCCAGTGATACTGGAACCTTCTTACAGTCTGTCTGTGAGTATTAAATGAGGCAGAATAAGAATGCAGTGATATACAGCGTCCTGAATTTTGTAAGAATAGTGTGTATATTTATAGAGTCATCACATCCACTCAATTTTTTTCAACAGTCATAGCACCGTATTAGCACGATAACTTCCTTAAGCTTCTGTAAGTACATTCACTTTCCACCTGCAAAAGCTGCCTGTATTTTTCCTTTTAATTACTTAGAAATTCCCAGTCTATAAATAGGGATATAGTCGTGAATAGATGTATACATGCAAATACATATATATGTATTTGATAGTATAATCTTTACTCTGCTACCCACAGCATCTCAATTAAAAAAAAAGGGGAGGGAGGGGAAAAAAAAGCTGTACTAGCGAGTACTGTCTATGTGTTGCACTTAAATGGTGGTTCAATAGATATTTTCCATTCAAGAAATAAAGATAGGAAAGAGGAATTTTGAAAGCACAAAGCCATTTTTAGTAACTTCAGATTAGAACCTTGTAAATAATTGATTTCTGGTTCAGTCTGAAGTGAAAAATAGTGTGAAAAGTGGTTCAAACTGAAAAGGATTTTTGTTTGCTGAAAAAAACCCCTGCATATCTGATGAACAAAAATTTTTGTCCCCCAAAATAATTTAATATTTTTAATAAAGCAAAGCAGCAGTAATTAAGGGTAAACTTAGATAATACTATCAAAAAACACAAGAGATCACTGTATGGGCACGGATCAGCATCTCCTTTTTCTTTTTTGTAAGTATTATAGGTATGCTTTTGTCCAGAAAGAGAATGTTTATGATATTGTGGTCAGGACTTCCTAGACTAGGAGTGCTTGAATATTCATTGCTTAAGAGTTGCATATGTGCTAAATAATGGACTTTTGCAGAAAAGAGAAGGTGATTTAGCAAGGGCATCCTTATTTGAGCATTGTATGTATTGTGTGGGTTTTTTTTAAACTATCAATAAAAGAAGAGGAGGAGGAGGAGGGAAAAAAAAGGAATAGTTTTTTTTTCAGGTGAAACAATGCAGTTAATTTGTTCAGCATTTTTGAAAAAAGTTTGGATCAATTAAAATGTCATTTGTGTTGAACGTGAGTATTACAAAAGGCACTCGAAATAAAAACCCATTGTATTTAATGACTAAAATATATTAATTAGAATTAGTAAAAGCCGAGACTAAAACTTGATGGAGGATCAACTGACAATAGAACAGCTTTTTTATGATTCCTTAAGAAGTACAAATCGGTCTATTCCAAGACTGAAGTGGTTCTCCTACCTAGTGTGAACTTTCCTAATGCAGAGCTTGCTAGTTTCACAGCTAGGAAAAAAGCATCACATGAAACACAACATTGAATATTCTAAATGTACGTGCTAAATTTGTGTGTGTTTTCAATAGGTTATTGTATAAAAATTGCCAAAGTCAGTGAAAGAGGTCAATGAATGGGCCAGGCTTTTGATTGATTGGTATATGCCATATGTGCATTGGTTATTCTTCTGTATTATTTTCTTGAGCTTTTATAGCAGGGAGAGTGAAAACAAATTCGAGAAGGTATCAAAGCAAAGAAGATTGTTAATTATTTTCTGTTATGGTAAGAGATGTCATGTCTACATTTTTCTTTTCATTTTTTGGGGGAAGGAACAAGCATAAGGAATATTGGTAGGACATGAAAGGATCTTCTAGAGTTTGTTGCTGTAATGACGTTTAGGCAGATTTATCTTGGCCCTACCTGTTGCTGGAAAGAAACCTTCATAGTCTTGATAGCTTAGGAATAAGGATCCATGTTTTTTTTGAACTATGCAAATCAGTTTTTAGACCTTTGGAAATTCATTCACTTCTGAGTTTATAGGTATTTTTCTATTATTATTTATAGACTATATCATATTTTTTCAACAAGCAGATTTATTACAGGATTTAACATACAGTTATTTTGCAAGTGTTAAAATTTATTATGTTTTTAGGAGGTGTGACTGGAAGTGGAGTGCATCCTGGGTCACTTGGGTTCAAGCCCTTGTTACTGCAAACAGCCAGGTCAACCTGATCATAAATTTTTGAATTTTCATCTGAAAACATCAGGGTGTTTTGTTTCCAACCTGAATTTCTTCATGGCCAATTTAGTACCATTTGTTCTTATGCCAGCATGGTCCTTGGGCTTAATTAGTTTTTACTCTTCTCAGGTGTTTGCCTCTGGTTCTATTTATACACATTGGTCATACTCTTTCTCAACTGTCTTTTTGCCAGAATAAACCACCAACAATCTTTATGTCTAACTAATAAATGCCAACAGGAGTTATTTAACAGGAGAAGGTAAGTGTTGTTTCAGTTTGGAAAGATCCAGTTGTTCATGGATATTTGTAATTATAAAATCCATGATGAGGTACATTGTAAAATCTGAATTAAATTTACCTTGTTCAGTTGCAGTGTTTTGTTGCTGAGAAGTGTTTATATTTGATAGCTTTTTTACAAAGATATTTCTTGGGCACATGACAATTGTCCTATTTTTTTCCACTGCTTCTCATTATATGGATTGTATATATCAAATATACCTTCTGTCACTGAAACTTTCTAATCCATTGAAACATCTGTGCTAATCTCTTCTGCAGAACTGTATTTTATTTGCTTCTGTCTGTGCCTGCTATTATATTAATGTATTTTATTAGCTAATCATGTGCCTTCTGTTTGTATAAGAACAGTTTGTACCCTGTGAAGTTCAGAATTTTTTCAGTTGTGCCTTAAAGCTGTTCACAAGGGAATCTGGTTAAAGGTCGACCAGCAAGTTCAGTGCCTTTCAAACATAGTGCCGTCCCCACGTTAGTGGGGCCTACCACTTTCTGGTTATTGTTAAAATGTGGACAAGTGCATGTCATGGTGAGTACAAGATACTAGTATGTTCCTTAAATAGGTTTCAAAAGCTACACATGGCTTCATATTTACAAATATATTCACAAACTATCTTTCTCACCCAAGATTTCACCCTGCTCCTCACCTTCCTACATGGTGTATAATGTCTTGCACTGCATTAGCAGCTATTATCTCCAGTCCTATTGCCATTTGTCGTTAACAGTCCTGCGTTGCTGCAGTTCTCCCACGTAACAGGGGATTCCTCCTCAGCCCCCTTATTTATCGCACACTTCCTTCCAAGTTCAGTATACATTTGAGTGAGGAGGAAACAGCAGAACCAATATGGGCTAGCCAGAGTGCAGTTGTCACTGTTATCTGAGACTGTGTCCCTTTCAGATTTGACAGAAATTGGTTGTTGCATCAAGAGTTAATAGCAGCGGTGTATGTTGTGGTTTTGTCTGAGTATAATTTGCTTAGGAAGACCTTTGTTGACGCTTTTAGACAAATTTTCCTTTTAGTACAATGGTAGACAAGTTTTTGTTCACCCGTCTTGGAGTTTGGAATCTATTGCGATGTTGTTGATTTTTCTTCAGAAAATCCCTGTGGACCTGTTTTTAGTTGTTCTTTGTTCGTTTCCCTCAAAGAAGTTTTCCTGACAGTGAACAACAGGCTCCAATATGATGTGATTATAAAAACATATAAGCAGTTTATTGAGTGAAATCTGTTTGGAAGAGTTAAAAATAACCAAGCATAATCCTCTCCACCATCGCAGAGGTTGCTTTTTGGTGTAGAATAACAACAAACAAATACGGGTTTTATTTTTTGATTGATTTTAGAAGTACAGTTTGGACAACCAAGACATACGTCTTCCTGCTAAGCAAATTTAGTAATCATTCATTATGTATTGTCAATAACAAGATGTTTACTGTGGAGAATTAATTTTTCTTTCTTTCTATAACATTCTCCATTTCTAACATATTGAACTCTCAGATGTGCTCCTATAACAAAGAATGGATGGTGTAGGCAATCATATATGCTTAAAGGTTTATTTTGTATATCTTGACTATAAATATCCAGAGTGTCTGAGAATTATTTTAATTTCAGGTTTTTTTGAGTGAAGGCATTTATGGATGCGATGTATAAAAATGCTCACTCTTGCACACAGATGCGCACTCTGTCTTCTGCTTTGAGGACAGTGGTCATCTAGTATACATTGGTTTATGCATTGTGCTTAAGGCATTTGTTCCATGTTGCCCTTTCTGTGAGCATATCTTCAGTATTCTTTGTGATGGATGTTTATCAGTTTGTAAACTTCTCAGAAAACAAGTTTTCAGAGTGGCATTTCTTTCTTGGGAATTCTTGTCCATTATAGACTCGAGCTGTCAGGTTTTGTGCAAATTCTTATAATTTAGACCTACAGTTGATTTGCTACTGTGTTCTTATGGCATGGTCTATTCAGGATTGCATTTGGAAGGCTAAACACTAAAATCCGTATATATAAACAGATCTTTACTAAATACCAGTATGATACTTAAAAACAGCTAATGAAAAAATGACTAAGCCTTGTCTAGGGGAAAAAAAAAAAAAAAAGACTCAAAAGATTTTGTTCATAGTATTGTATTTAACTAGAATTCTACCTAAAAGGATCAGTTCTTATTGATGGTGCATAAATGCTTTCAGTTAGCTTGTAAAAACTATACCCATCAAAGTAAGGGGCAATTACCTTTAAACACTGAGCACACTCTTATCTCAGGAATAGCTTGCTGAATTCGTTGGAGTTACTGGTGTAAAACATGGAACATCAGAATCAATCCTTTGACACAATAAGAAAGATGACTCTTGCAATTTCTTTTAAGAAAATTATTAGGTGATTGGAAAATGGTGATCATGTTATTGAGGCTGAAGGAGAACTTGACAGTACTTGGCAACTGAAGCAATCTCGCTCTGTTTGGCTAGTGTGCAACATTTCATGGCAGTATTGGCAGGCAGCAGCCATTGTCTTCTCCATGTCATGGCTGCCTCACCTTGTGTGCCTTTGGTGTTCACCGAGCTCATGGCTCTCTGCTCAGGTCTTCATCAGGATGGGGTGGGGGAAAACCCAAAGGCAGCTGTGGCTACTGTACTCTAAAGCCCATGGTGTCTCTGCAGTAGTCTGACAGACGCGAGTTTCAAGAA